TTAATATTAGGGGGGGGTTTAATAATCGTGGGAAGCGATTACATATCGGAGAAAGACGGCGGTGGATCATGGGCGGGGGGTAACCACATATATATATATAATTATATATACACATACATACACATTTAGCTACATATTTATGGATGTATGTATGAATGGAGGCAGGCAGGTAGGTAGTTGCATACACGCAAGAGTGCTTTGCATTACATTGCGTTACCCATGCATGGATATGTGCGTGTGTGTGTGTGTGTGTTGGTTGTGTGTGTGTGTGTCTGTGTGCATGTGCTTGTGCACTCGGATGCCAGCACACATAAACTGATGCATGTTTGTGCGTATGTATGTAAGTAAGTAATTATGTACGTATGTCCGTACGTCTGTGTGTACACATGTCGCATGTTTAATGCCCACGTCCATGTGTACAACGACACATACGTACATACGTACATACTTACGGACACAAATACATACATGCCCACTATTCCCACAAGAATATGTAGAGATATTGGGAGCAAAAGCAGGGCAGCGGTGTTGTTATTGAAGGCTTGTAGCAAGAGTGCCGAAGTCTGCTGGAGCTGCGAGACTATGCAATTGCAAAGTCTCGTCTGATTAGCAGCATGCTTCTTCGCTCTTGTGTACATTAGTCATTAGTCACCCAAACCCTTTCATCGCAGCCCGGCTACACCCTCGCTTGGAGTAGAAGGAACGGTGATGATGGTGATGATGATGATGATCATCATCATGCTGCTGATGATGACGACGACATCACTACTGGCCATGCCAACAACCTTGCTGGGGCTCGAGACTGCGACATGGGCTTGAGGATTCAAAAATTACAGTAGATTAGTAGATTCTTAGATGTTGTGAGCATCGGTAATTATCCTTGGACAAAGCTGCAGAATGCTGCAGAACAAGTCTGGTTCTTGGAGTTCGGCTGAAGCGTTTAGTGCCGGATGAGGTCTCAGGAGTACCCGAGAGTCAGTAGGTTTCGACAGTAATTGCAGTGTGGTTGCCACCTCTGTTCTAGATTGCTTTTGCAATTTGATCATATCCAGACTTTTCCGTACTAGTGTACTGTTATCCTTGGTGCAGCCCTGCCATGCGTTTCAGCCGCAGCCTAGCTTGCACAGGTTGGTGCGGTGACTCTTTACATGCCCGAGCAGTTCTCCAATCACATTTTCGAGAGGCTGATCTCCGGCTCAATTCCGACACAGTCCGTAGGCACATCATGTTTAAACGGTCACTCCGGCTCTCCTTACTTTTCTCTAAGCTGCGTCCCAGCTTAGCTTTTGGGCTTGGCGAGGGACTCCAGTGGTTTACAACGGCAAACTTCTGGTGTGCTGGATGCTACCATACCGCCCGGCTATACTAACTGTTGCTCCAGTCCATTCCAGTACCAAAATACAAAGACGACTCCCTTGTGGTTGAGATCCCCTCTCAACCCTTTCTTCTGGCAGCCCTTGATCAGTGAGGAGGTCGTTTCAAGAGCTAGGATAGCAATAGAACCTGGGAGCTCCAGAGCTTCCAAACTCTGGCCGACTCCTCCTGGCCGCTGAGGAAACCCTTCTTGCCGGATCACTTCGGGGGCCGACCCATTGGGATCCATCGCCGTGCCTCATCTTTATAGAAAGGTCTTCAACATGCTTAGAGAGTAGCTGAGCCACACGAGCACTACGACAGCACAACGGCAACAATGGCATGCTCCATGACGCCCGAGCTGCGCCCCATGCAGTGTTTGCCACGTGTTGTTAAGAGCTGTGATTTTGCGTCAGCAGGCTTTTCGCAGCTTGACCTGCCCTCGGCGACACGGTCTAGGAGGGTGTCTAGGTTTGTCAACTCAATCGATTTTGTCGGAGGCCTATTTGGAGATTGATGGGTGTCGCATGGCAATGATGCTTACATCTTGTTCCTAGTTGTCGCTTATACTGGATGGGCTCGAGCACCGAGGATGGGCTGTGCTCAAGTACGAGAAGGGACAATACCTCAACCCACACATCGACGGGCACACGCCAGGCACTGTCCGAATAGGCGGGACTTTTCCAAAAGCCAAAAAGCATCAAAGGCCTTTTCTTATGTCAGATCGTCATTGCACCACACGCTGGCAATGCACGTGACTAATTTGCGCGAGCATTCGCAGGAGATGAGTTGCAGAAGGAGACGGGGACACGTTCTTACATGTCTTGCCTTTTCTGGCTGAGCGACGATGTGGAAGGAGGCACATGGGGGATTGCAGGCATGACCGAGTGTGTACTGCAGACATTAAACGGTAGAAGCGGCTGCAAGTGTCACTTTAAAGAACTTTAAAGGTGACATACACCTTGTACATCGTCTCTCAGGCTCATGGGCGCACAGACGCGCGAAGGCACAAGCACGAGGGACGTGAAGATGGCCACAAAGCCTTCCCTCACTCACTGCCTTCCATCCATCCCTCCCCTCGCTCCCTTCCCCCTCCCCTCACTCCCTCCCTCCCTCGCTCGTACGTGAGCACGGCCGGTGACTGCACGAGGCTCGCTGGTCATGCACGCACGCGAGGAATCAGCAACATGCAGAGCGGAAAACGTGCTTCCTCATCTTTAAGAGAAGATAGATTGAGCTAGGCTGGCTGGCTCACACAGGTGAGACCGTCTTCACATATCCGCAGGGCGGGACCTGGGTGGCGATTCCACCGAAGCACTCCGGCCCGAACTGCAAGCTTCTGGCGATGCTGTTGTTCCCATGCTGGTACTGTAGGGTCTCGACTTGATGTGACGAGGCACGAAGACATTGTCATTGTGTCCGTTCAACTCTAGAATCTAGAATCAAGTCGGTCCAGTTCAAAGGAGCTTCGTTTGCATGAAGCTGTTTGGAAACGGAGTGTCTGATCAGACGGACGTCAGACGGACTAGTGGTCTTATGCCCAAACCATATCTCCTAAGTCGCTTTATACCTGGAAGCTTCCTCTGCCCGGCCTACAAGACTCGTTCTTGCAGCTTACGCACGGGGCTCCCGCCTCTCAGGACTGGTGCTGCACTCTTGTTTTACCATGGGCAGAATGCGGTCAACAACCCCATGCATTATGGCGGCGATGTGAGCCTGGGCTGCTTTGAAGATTGGTGCCGAAGAATACACTTTGCTGTGTTGCTTTTGGCATGTACAATGGTACAACGCTCACCCAGACGAGCGCCGAATCCGGGGCACTGCGCCTGCACCACACTGAAAACACCCTGCTGCTTCAGCCTTGAGTGATTTAATGTGTTGTTTTCATTCGATTTTAGGCTTCCTTCAGGCAGCGAGTACCGAACTTCGATTCGTCAGAACAGGACGATGACACAAATCATGGCGGAACAGCTTCATCCCGAAAAGCGAGATTTGGAGTCGCAATCTCTGGGCTTTCAGGGAATCCGCCCTGGGCTGAAGTATGCTGCAAGCCGCGTTGCTTTGGTGTTGCCAGACCAAGAACAGGCATCAGCGTCATCACTAGCACCCTAAGTTTCATAAACAATGTTTTCACGTGTGACTTTTCTGCTTGTCACGTTTCTGTTTTGGACGGGGGTTTGCAACTGTCGGCTCTCCCAGGAAGTCCGGCATCAAGTACTTGGCTCTTGAGCTGCACCTTACGGCTTAGGCTGCAGTGGGGATCCAGGGCCAGACGAACAATGCTAGACTTTGCCGTTGCTTTCCCGGATGGCCAGTTCGTCCTTGCAGCCGACGCGTTTAGAGACGTCCTACCTGCACTCCTCGCCGACTCAACGCTCCATCCCCAAATCTTGGTGCACCCACTCCCCAATCCCTGACGCGCCGAGAGATCTCGTCTGGCGGTGACTGAGTTGCGAGACGCATTGCGAGAGCGTAACCAAAAGCGAAGGAGAGCGGGAGCGAGAGAGAGAGAGAGAGAGAGAGATCATGAATCCTATGAGCAGCAAAAACAGCAGCGTCAGACGGGGTCCGGATGTCTCTGCACAAGCGTGCCTACAAGGGATCGTTCAGCCAGTCGGCCTTGACTCATATCTTCTTCAGCTTTCACCTGTCAGTGTTCCAGACAATTTTTGGCAAGCAATGACTTCGCAAAGTAATGCAGTCTACGCTCGCAGAGCATTCAGGCAGCACGCTTGGTGCATGCACACATTCTGGCATATGAAGTTGCCTACACCACTCATACACCTTGCACACATATGATCACACATGCACGGATGCGTCGCCCAGACATGGACAAAGAACCAGCCAGCAAGCTGGCGGTGGTGATGCTAAGGAAGATACTTAATCGATGTGCGGCTGAAGCCTGTTTGTATTCCAGCAGGGAAGCAATGAACCTAGCACAAACTCGACTAGTGACTAGAGTTGTCCTGCGATCGCCACACCCTCGTCCCGCGTCTCCGGTGTGAGAGATCAGACCTGGAAGTCCAAAGTCTAAAGCTTCTATCTTACGCTTGCGCGAGAAACGCAGATCTCTGGAGAACATGCGACTTTTGCTAGCCACAGGTTCGCTCAGACATCATTTACCAGACCTGACAGCGCGTGAGGTAACACCCGGTGCGGGCGGATCTAGTCAGCCTGTAGGCTTCGAGTTGGCCTTTAAATCACGTGGGTGAGAATGAGCCATCCGTCAGGAGCGGTTCATGCGATCCCCTGGGGTGCCGGGACGGGTAGAGCACCAATTCGCATTGTACGCCCGTATCCCTCCCAAGAGCTCTAGACTTCCGTTTCGCCCCTTCAGAGCGCAAGGCGTGCAACCAGAGCCGGAAAAGCCGGCTGAGGCCTTGCATATCTGATTCTTTTTCAAGCCGACAAGTGTAGCTGCAATACTCCCCTAGCCAACAGTGTCGAAATCAGCCCCAACTTTACTTCACACCGTTTCCGGCCGGGGCGTTTTGCTGAAACTCATGGCATGGCATTGGGCTCTGGGGTCTAGGGTCGGGTGTAGGCATTCTTCCTTTGCTCGCTTCGGTCCCGGATGTTTGGTCTGTTAAAAATGTGTAGAGCAGAGCGTTTCCTTGCCCTTCGGGCTTAGGATGGCGAGATATGCCACCATGCACCATGCCTCACATCTCCGATTATGGGGCATTCCCTTGCATGCTTCCTGCGCGTGCGGTGAGACGATCGAACTGGAATCGAGAAAGCTAAGGGGTCCTGGACAGGAAGTGAAAGAGAGGTGACCATTCTGCATCACGACCTGCATTGACTGCTGCAGCCCCACGTTCGGCTCGAAGACCAAGATGTGAGTAGAGTGCTGAGGTCACAGGATGTACAAGCAGAAGCGCTGGGTGCAGAGTTTAGTTGGGGCCTGGACGATGTCTCTTGGAACAACGACTCCGTATATGTGGGTAAGTATTTGCATGAAGTACCGCTCCAAGTTTGTATGTGCATGCTGATCATGCTGAGCATTACTCTCATTGGACAGGCTAGGCTAGATCCATTAGATAGGAACTGAAACCATGTTAATTTTTGATCCATGCACTTTCTTCGCCCCATGATATGACAGGACAGGACATGACATGACATCAGAGTGTTGACATATTTTCGCGAATACAGACGTGCATGTATACGTACTTCTAGAACCTAGTGTTTGCTGTATGCCTTCGTCATTGGCTATGCAAGTGTATGCATGTTCACGTGTCTACACGATAGCAACAACAAGGTTGTTGCATTGAAGAGCCACCTCACCAGTCGCATCATGCAGGGAACGGTGCTTGTTGGAGTTGTTTTGGGACTCCGACTGCCTGTTCGATGCCGTCGTTGAGTTTTCTTGAAACAGGTACATGACACGAGCTGTACAGCCTCAGCATCATGTCGGAGACCCCCGCGTGCATGTCTCTCCCCACATATAAAAAAATATGCATGCGCACACGATCGCAAACAGTAGCACACGCACGTCGTAGAGCAGCACTAGCTGCTAGTAGCTTCCTTTTTGTTGGCCAACGTCGAGTTGAAGTGAAGATGTGACATCTTCTTCGAAAGTGTGGTGCTAGTGGCGTCGGCTGATGCAAGTGACGCACTGCTAGCAGCTAACTGCTAGCAACGCAGCCAGCTCGAAGAGCTGTCTGGCCCCCTTGCGGTTAGTCACAAATCGAATGCTCCATCTGACACACGCAAAGCAGCATGCGACAGCCTGGTGAAGGTCCGACAGAGATCAAAAGAGCCTTTGCATTCCGTGGTGTTCGCTGAATCCGATGGTTACCCGGAGCATAGCGTCGCAACGCGTTCTGCTCAGGAAAACCCCAGACCTAGAACAAACCTTGATCAAGTGCCAGATGAAGTTAGGGTGAATGTGCTCTGCAGCATACCTGCAAGAATCCATGTTCCTCCAAGTTGCACACGGCATCCAGGGAGGCTGGGAAGAGTCGGGTTTCGGCTTTCCCGGCTGGTTGCGAGAGTCCTGGATGCAAAAGCTTTTCTCGAAGGCTTCCTTTCAACTCTTCGGCAATACCCACAGCCAGAGCATCAAACTCACGTGAATATGCGTATGTACGTATTACATGGCAGACATACCGTTCTCCTTGTGGCTCAAGCGGGCGATGGAAGCCGCTTCATTAATTATTGGCGTTAGTGATTATTGCTGAGCCTTACATGTCCTAGAGCCTATGACTATGAATCGTCAGGTCGTAGAGGTTGAGGGTTCGGGATGCCAGTTGCAAGCCAGCCTGTCCTCCCTTCTGCTCGTGGCAAGACTTGACCCCGGATGCTGTTGCTCTAAGTTCTCGCAATGGCAATTCTTTCTTGCAGCCGCTCGCATAAGGCTGTCTTGGCAGTCTTTATGTCTTCTATTTCTTTCTCGACCTTTGCGATGTGGCAAACTACACGAGCCTTAGCTCCTGCTGCGCACGCGGACGCGAAACCTGGGCCGCGCCCTGGGTGCGCAAGAGATCCTGCTGAGTTCTACCTACCTGACGACCTGAAAACGTGCAAGCAACCGCGTAAAGTGGACTGGTTCAACGACTTCCTGGCCAAAAACCTGGTAAGTAACCCTCTCGAGCCCGGATGTTGGCAGGCGAACAATTCCTGTGCACCGTTCCCCTGTTCCAAGCTTTGCGAAATGGAAAGGTACCAATACCTCCGAAAGATCTGGAGCGCGGAGAAGCCGGGGAAGAAGAAGGTCATGGCGTTCCAATACGGCAAAGTTGCTAGCTCCGCCATCGTAGAGGGGATGAAAGCACAACTCGGCATTGCGGTGGCCCATGCCCATTTGCCAGAGCATGCGAGACAGTGGATGGATGGGGAGCGCCCTCAAATTCCGCTGCAGGTGCAAGGCTTCGCTTTCTCGCAGGAGTGGTCTCTGAAGCCAGGAGATGAATGCTTCATTATCACGGCGACTCGTAGCCACTTTAGCCGAGACCCTTCGGAGTACTTCGAGAACATCCTGCTCCCTGAACACCCTTATGGCTATCATCCCAGGGGCGTCCGCAGGTACAACGACACACCTCCAGTGGGCACCGACAAGAGGTGGACGGAGGCAAAGATAACAGAGCTCGGAAAGTCGAACGTGGCTATCTTGCAAGAGGACTTCCAGATTCAGCATGAGATTGTCATTCAGGCATACTCAAAATGGTACTCGGAGGTGTTTTTCGGCGCGACGGGCATAAACATATTGAAGCAGAACTTCGACCGGCATAAGAAACATATGCTAGTGCGTGCGGAGACATGCCAGGTGTTGGTGCTACGTTTCGAAGACATAAGCGAGTGGAGCAACATCATTGGAAAGTACTTCCCTGGCTTTCAAATGCCGAAAGGTGCCAACAGAGCTGAGTTGAAGTGGTATGCAGACGCCTACAGAAACTTCAAGAGCACCCTGGAATATAGGCCAGAGGAACTGAAGGCCATGTGTGAGACAGAGACGGAGACTCATTTCTACGCAGACGATCCTTCGTCCGAATGTGCCGATGCTGACTTTTAGAGAAGCTACTGCGATCCAACGCTTGGAGCCTTAAGGGCCACCATAGATCCATGCTTTCACAGTCGACAGCTTCGAAGGCTTGACTCCCAAAATGCAAGCCGGACCTAGCACTACCAATGTCAATCTGCAGGACTTCGCTTGGTTTCTTTCATGTTGTGCTTTGTATAGATCCTGGGCACCCCCCCCCCCCCGCGTCTGATGCTCTCGTGAGATGCAACCTCACCGAGAGTCAGCCCCAATCTGTCGCAATGCGTTACATGCGAAGCCCGAGCTTCTGACTAGAGCTTCTGGTCCTCGTCTGCCGTCTGGCCGAGATCAGATCTTGGGCTCAGACTCTTATGCACAGACATGGTGTCGAGCCTCCCAGCCAGGGCCACTCGAGTTAATTTCGTCGCATCTGGAACCCCGCAGCTGCAGCGCTTTCTGCTTCTCAAATCCCTTTCTGAGCATCCCACGACTTTGGGCCCAGAGCATTCGCAGCTCAAGCCTCAAACAGTGAACTTCAAAGCCTCCATGAGTGGGTCATGCCAGGCTGCGCGGAGTCAGGTGCCAACGCCCAGCCGACAGGCTTCTATGAATTCTCATTCCGGGCGTGCGTGATCGATTACGCCTCTGGCCCCATATTGCAAAAGTTCAGACTTGGAGTTGTAGTTATACAGCCATTGCTCTCAGCCGTAATATTGATTCCATCGCCAAACTCATGCTGCGGCTCGTCATGCTTTCCGGCCTGGCTTAGACACATCACCCAACCTCAACACCTTGAACACCGTCCACCCACATTGAACAGCGTCCGGCGCAGGTGCACCAGATGCCTTCGCAGCTTGCCCAGAAGGGGGGAGACTTGGGAGTTGGGAGTCTGAAATTAGCTTCTCGGTAAAGGTGCAGCAAATGGTTACAAAAGGGTGGTCTTGCACCTCAAGTGTCATAGCTGCATTCCCAAGACCCGAGGGGGCTGAGGCAGCAGCAAATTTCATAATGATTGGCTGAACACTTTAGATCGCAAAATTCGTGCACGCCCTGCATTCCGGATGTCATGGATATAGGGCTCGGGCATCACAGTTTCAAAGCCCCGGAGGTTTCGAGGAAAACTAAGCTTCCAGGGTCACTCAAACACTGCGCATGGCTTTTAGTTCACATGTTGCCGATAAGTGCTCGAAACTCTTTCGCCCTGAAGCCCCCACGCGAAGCCCCTGTATGCCCCAGCACCTCAGGCCCATTCTCCTTCTGACCTTGCGACCTACATTACCCAACATCTAGTCGTAATGGATCGTGACATCCGCCCTCTTCTTGCATGCAGAGTCCTGTTCATTAGGTTCCAAATTTCGGGCACAGGCGCTGTGCTTCCGGTGTGTGCCAAGCCTCTCGAAACCGGTCCGGTCTGACCTTCAACCTGCCGAAGCCTTTCCCTCGAGCCGAATCTGCTGGGATGCACTCCTCGTGAAAGGGTTTGCTGAAGCAAAGCTGTGCCATGGACTCTTAAGCTTTGCCAGTTCGCCTTCTGCTGTGAGAATGGGCTCACCTTCCCGGTGGTCCCACGGCCGGCAGAAAGTGCCAGGCCGGAGCCACAGGACCTTGAGCTTCATAGGCTTTTTTCCCAACGGCACAGGGCTTCAGGGGTGCAGGGTTCCTGCTTCGACCTTTCGCATGTTGAGCTACACCTACCAGTAGAGATTGCGATGACCTGAAGCTCCCAGAGTTGCGGTACGTGCCAAGTTGAGGTTCCTGCATTTCTCAGGGAGGTGTCGATTGCTGAGAGGTTTGCACTTGTGATGAGTATCTGCATGATGCGAGGTTACAGCAGCGAAGCCTACGGGTGTTTCGAATTTGGTTTTCTCGTCCACTCTTGTGAACCGTTCATTACGGAATGCTTCAACCTTCTGGCCCGAGCTCTTTTCGGGGATTCATGTGGACAGAGTAGCAGTGTAGCGAAAGGCGTCCTCGATCTAGATGCCGAGCGTCGATGCTGAGCATGCCGTCGAAACCCAGAACCTTCAGCATCAAGCCGTTGTGGTGTGCAGTCAGTAGTGGCCGGTCACGCGACGAGCTTGTCTCCTACTTACTCTCAAGAGGCAGAAAACCGCCACCTAGTGCAGCTTAGTCTCGAGAATGTCGACTGCTTCTGAAAGGCTCTCCGGGAGCGCGTGCCGGAACCTCGGGATGTGGGACAACGTGAATGTTTTTTTTGTGGTCTAGCCAGCTTTCGTTTGCTGCTTGGCTACGGCTTTCAATCAGTCCTCTCGGCATAGCTTCAGGTGCATGACAGCAAGCGAAATGCTCGGAAGCTTGCGAAAATGTCAATAAGTTAGGGATGCTCTCCATCTCTCTCACAGAGACTGACTCAAAACGTGATCGACGAGCCTGGTGCAGAATTTTTCACTGCTGGACAGTATACGGCATGCTTCGCAAGCTTGTGCTGGACATATGTGCTGGCATCGCAATTTGTGTGCTCCATGAGTGAGAGACGTTTTACCAATCTTCTGACATCAATGGAGCCCAGGATAAATGCTTCCAAGCCCCGACTTCTATCAATCCTGCACTCCCAACACCTTTGCAGCAGTTCAGCAGCTATCCGCGCAGAACGATACCGTCAAGATCATCTAGATTCTAGATTTCTGTATGATGTCTCAGATCATGCACATGGAAATCAGAGGCAGCTTCCTTTCGATCGGCACTGAATGGGCGGCGGCAGATACATATATGTAGAGCAGACTTTGCACAAGCCATGTTGCAACTCTCCAGTCCGCCGCGCGAACCTGTGACTCCATCGTTGCGTCCGAGTCAGCCGAAGCCGAATTTTCAAGCTTACGGCGTCAACGGGCCCGGAGCAGCCTCAGCATCCTTGCCACTTTGGCAAAGACTATTGATGTGCGGATGTGTGGCCCGGTATGCCCGGCACGGGGTGTCACGCTCTCGCGCAATGAGAACTTGCAATGCAGCTACAGCAGTGAACGAAGCATTCGAGATATGCTCGCTTGAGGGGAAAGGCAAAGGGGTTGTCGCCAAGAGGAGGCTACAACAGGGAGAGTTGATACTGCAGGAGCCGCCCTTGCTGATACTGACACGCGACGAATTGGGAAAATTCGCAGATGCAGACATCGAAGAGCGCCTGGCAACCCTATCCACGGAGGACCAGGAATCTTTCTGGGAGTTGTTCGATGCGCAGATTATCAAGGGCGAGGGTCGAGGCTCCGCCAAAAGTAGAGTGTTGACGAACAGTTATCCAGTGGAAGATGAAGCTGGACAAGAAGCTGTTGCCGTCTTCAACACCATCGCCCGCTTCAACCACAGCTGCGTGCCAAACGCTCACAACAGCTGGGATGCTGAAACTGGTGCTGAAACCATTTATGTTACTCGGGACATCGAAGCTGGACAGGAGATATGCACGACCTATCTGGACCTGATTGCAAGAAGAGAAGACAGACAGGCAGAACTGTCCAAGCGATTGAAGTTCATGTGCACCTGCCAGGCATGTAGCCTGAACGGGCAGCTCCTTGAGGAAAGCGATGGGAAGCGGACACGCCTCCATTCTTTGTTGCTTGGCTGGTGTCTTTCAAGACGTCATTAATCACTTGAATCAAGTAGATATCGGTTCCACTGCAGAATTGTCCTTCGTGTGTGGCGTTCAGATGCGCAAGCCTGCCCCTGTGGGTTGCCTAACGACCGAACGAAACCCCGATGTCCGCTAGACGAGAGAAGAGTTGAAGTCTTGGAGAAGTAGCCGAAGCCAAAAGGTGGCACTTGGAGTATTAACTCGAGGTTCGGGCCCTTGCTGGAAGAACCTAGGTGGGAACAGCTGGAGGCTTTTCCGAGCGGAAGCGCTGATGGCCTAGTGGCTGGCCTGCTTCAGTAAACGCCTTCTTTGAGCCTGGCACACATAGTAAGCCCGGCTTCCGTGCTGATGTTCGCTTCGATTGGGTTTGTAGTGAGATCTAGTACCCAAGCTTTTCCTCGGAGTCTTGCCTCTATTCCTTTGTTGGGGGGGTAGCCTCCATCGGGAAAATGTGAAAGACAGGAAGAGATCGTTTCCGAGATGATCAAGCTCATTGATGAGGAGCTTTGCGGGCATCCTGCTTACAAGTGTCGAGTGTTCTCGGCTCCTCGGCCTGTCTAGGGCATGTCAGCCGGTGCTTTGCTGCCTGCTCATGCCCTTCGTGCCCTCTTGCTTCAGGCTGCATTTGAAGTGGCCGCTACCGCCGAGATGGTGGACCTTGCTGGTGAGATGGCCGAAGCTGCTTTGGAGAATGTCGTTTTGGCCGAGGGCCCGGAGTCCCCAAGAGCGGAGCTCCTTTGTCAATGCGTCGAGGCTTGTGCGTAGCGCTCTTCTTCTCCGGAAGCAGGGCGCAAGCGAGAAAGGCCGTCCTCCCTGTGTAAGTTGCGGCTCCCTGCGGAAGATCACGCCCTGAGCCCCCGCAGGCGTCATTTTAACAAGGGTCGAACTATGCCTCCAAACTTCGGGCGGTTTTTAGGTTGCGGAGTTGCAAGAACTCCAGCAGATCGAGTGTGCGACTTGCGTGACACAGGCCCTCAGTTCTCCAAAGCATGATTGACGCTCAGGTCGTCTCATCTCAGCCTTGCGCCGCGGAGAAGCTGGAACCTCAAGAAGGGCTTGCTTTTTCATGCCCCTCCTTTACGACCCTGAAGCTCGTGTCCATGCCTTGCTCCGGAACTCGTGAATATCTGAAGCGACATTGCATCAGAGTTTCAGGCGTTGGTGTCGTGATGTCGGTACTAAGATAAGGTGCACTGTGCACGGCGGGTTGTTTCCTGGAGGTATGATAGTGATATATGATAAGACGAACAGTTTTATGTAGACGCAAGAAGCGAGTGACTCTCGGGACATAGATAAACATGTAGCAGTTTCTGCCAGGCAGAACAAACTGAAGCCATAGGTATTTTGATCCATTTACATACCCCAATGTTTCGGTTTCAGGGTTCTTGTGTTTCAACCAAGTCATCTTAGGACGCGGCACCCGCGACGTTTGGGCGACCTTGGGCAGCCTCTTTTACTGCCGAGCCGTAGCCATTCCGCGGCTTGCCTGAACTTCACATGTATCGAGGACCACATTACAGGGCTCAACCTTAGATTGACAGCTGTGATCACAGAGCCCTCATCCTTACTTGCTCCCAGTCACCACGAGTGCTCTCAACGCCTGTTTGCCCATGCTGGTAGCCATGCACAAACAGCGACTGGAGTAAGAGAGTAAGAGAGGCTAGTACAGTAGTAATTGTCGGGCCGTCGTGTTGATGGCCATCATGCCTTAGCCAACCAGGAATCGAATCTTCGTCATCGTGACACATCTCGCAGCTAGCAGTGGTTCTCCTAGCCTGAGGTTCCTACGCGAACTCGCGCCCGATCTTCTGACCGCCGCTGAGAACGAAGGATGCCAAAGCCAGCTTAACGGGGGCGTTCCGAAACAGGGGTCATCAGGAGTCCCTGTCCCTGTAATCACACTGATGACGAAAAGAAATGCAGGACCGAATGCATAGTTTGGGGAGAAGCAGCAATATGTTGTTAGGTGGCAGGTCATGGTGACCGAGCTGCTGGCGAGGCTGCAGCGAAAGGTCGAGGTGACAGTAGCCACGTAGTGATAAGTAACTGGCTACCCGCTAGACATGAGGCGCGTTGAAGTATTACTTGCCACAGTTGCCATCATCTCAACATGTCTTAGGATAGCCGGCGACGGCATGCCGATCGCCTTCCAACTCTAGGGTTGTGTAAATAAAGGGCAACCGACGATATCGAAGGTTGCCGGGTTCTGGGGCATCAATGACACGTCGGCGGGGAGCTTGGAAAGACTATTCTATTCGATTAGATCCTGCTGATAGCTTTGGCATAAGGGTACAATATATGTCATTTTTTCGAATAATTCTTGTTATTTTTATCTCTATATCAATAAGAATTTTGCCATAACTATTCAAATAAAATTCTTGTGTTATATATATATATATAATAATATCTCATAGCAACGACTGGGATATTTTATCAGATATTTATTATCTCAAATATAGATGCCGCTCTCCAGGCCCAAGCTTCTCAAAGATATGATTAATTCGATATTAACGAATGTACCACTGTCGGTCCAAAATTGTTGGGATTCCTGTGTTACCACTTAGCCAGATACTATATAGCTACAGTAAGCATTTGATATTGTATATCAAAAGCTGGTTAGACCCAAAAGGTTTCCTGCTCATATGGCGCATACAGAAAAAAGGCATGTATATAAGGATAGTATCGTCTTTTAATAGGATTCCGGTGGTTTTCCGAAGGCTATAGCCACTTCCGGCATTCCAAGGCTGCTTTACTCTTAAGTACCTTTATGGAAGTTTTGACCGATGCTCATTTATAGGCTTATATTCATTTAGGTTGTAATATATACGATTCTCGAATAAATTTTTCAAATTCTGAGATAAAGATGTGTATATTATATATATATATTCATATTATGATGTAAATTTGATATGCTTTTTGAAAATATTTATTTGGAATTATGTATTGTTAGATTATGTTTCTTCAGTAAGAAAACAAAAGGATAATTGGTAAATTCTTTTTAAAAAGTTGTTCGGATTCTCTAATAAAGCGGTGTCGTGCTGGTCGCCTCGGTTTTTTTGTGCACGCCCCTGGCCCCTGTAACCTGGTCCTTTGGCGCGTTTCCTTTTGAACGCCTCTTGCGTGCCTGCCTCACGGTACTAAAATTTCCGAAATTTTGGTAGTTTTAAGAAATCTCGCGGTATTAAAATTTCGGAAATTTTGGTAGCTTGAGGGGGCGGGACAAGCTCCCGGTAATAAAACTTCTGAAATTTTCGGTAGGCATGCTCGCGGGCATAAAATTTCCGAATTTTTTTGGGACGTGCTCGCGGGAACAAGATTTCCGAAACTGTCTGTCTCTGTCTGTCTGTCTGGCTGGCTGGCTGTCTCTGTCTGTCTGTCTGTCTGTCTGTCTGTCTGTGTCTGTCTCTGTCTCTGTCTCTGTCTCTGTCTCTGTCTGTCTGTCTGTCTGTCTATGTGTCTGTCTGTGTCTGTCTGTGTCTGTCTGTCTCTGTCTGTCTCTGTCTGTCTCTGTCTGTCTCTGTCTGTCTCTGTCTGTCTCTGTCTGTCTATCT